AGTAGCAGCATTGCTGTCGTAACCTTGAGCAGCGAAGCCATCTGCTCAACCACTTCTTGCCCTTGAACAACCGGCAACGGCAGCGGTGGCGGCGGCAGCAACGGATTCGCCAGCGGCGGCATCGGAAAGCCGAATGGCACGTTCAACGGGTTCAGAGGCTGGCTCACGGGCGCTGGCTCTTGCTGCGGTCTTGCTCTGTGCTGCAGCGGCTGTTGCCGAGGGTTGAGCGGCTGCTGCTGTTGCTGCGGCGGGGCTCTCTGCTGCAGCGGCTCTTGCCGAGGGTTGAGCGGCTGGTTCACGCGTGCGGGCTCTTGCTGCGATGTTCTCTGCTGTTCTTGCTGCAGGGCTCTCTGCTGCAGTGGCTGTTGCTGAGGGTTGAGCGGCTGCTGCTCTTGCTGCGGCGGGGCTCTCTGCTGCAGCGGCTCTTGCCGAGGGTTGAGCGGCTGGTTCACGGGCGCGGGCTGCTCTTGCTGTGATGTTCTCTGCTGTAGCGGCTGTTGCTGACGGTTGAGCGGCGGCTGGCTCACGGGTGCCGGCTGCTCTTGCTGCGGCGGGGCTCCCTGCTGCAGCTGCTGTCGCAACGGCTGCCACCGCGGTGGCGGCATTTCTGGGACCTGCGGCGGTGCTGCTAGAAGCCCTTGCTGAGTTTGTGCAGCTGAAGTTTGTGGGGCTGGTTGCTGTTGCCGTGGCTGTGCCACTTGCTGCGGCCGCTGCGAGGAGGGGGGGGGAGTCTGAGGAGTTGGCGGGGCTTGTTGGACCTGCTGCTCTTGCTGTTGCTGTGCTGGCTCAGTTATTTGCATTGGCCGTCCTTTTGGCCGCGGAGTTAGCGGGGCTTGGGCTTGGTGCTGCAGCCCTGCTGGTGGTGGGCTTGCTGCGGCTGTGGCTGGACTTGCTCGTGGCATTGGCATTTCTGGTCTTGCTGAATGCCTTGGGTTTAAAAGGCTCTCAGGTGGTCTCCTTGGACTTGCTGCGGCTGTGGCTTGACTTGCTTGTGGCTTCAGTGCTTGTTCTGGCTGCGGCCTTGCTGGGGGGCCAAAGCTGACGGGTGGTCCAATTGGCTGGCGGGGCAATGCCGCAGGCTCTGGCTCAGGCAGAGGCTGGGAAGGCATGTTCACCTGTGCTGGCGAAGTTGATTGTGGCTCCACGGGCTCTGGTCTGTCCTCTGGTCTGCTTGGCTCTGCTTTACATCTGGCCACGAGTGGTCTGCTTGGCTCTGCTTTACATCTGGCCACGACCACTTGAGGAGCCTTGGCTTTGTTGAGGACCTCTTGCCGTGCAGCTCGTTGCCTGCAATATAACTCTTGCGTGCCAACTACCTGAGTCCAGCCATGGATGTGACGACTGAATAATATAATACTAATCTTTAACAAGTAAGTCTTAAAGGTTAGTTTTATTATCAAGATGCCAAGTCACGCCAAACCGTTTAAGCGTGTGTCGGAGTACGGCGCCTTCCCCCTTTTTTTTCTTCTTCTTCTTCTTGCTCCGGTCCTCGTCGCCCCCCTGCTGCTCGGGCCAGTGCCGGTGTTCATTCCACTGCGTGGCACGGTCATTCCACTGCTGATCTTGCCACTGCTCATCTTGCCACTCATTCCACCGCCACTGCTCATCTTGCCACTCATTCCACCGCCACTGGTCATCTTGCCACTCATTCCACCGCGTGGCACGGTCATTCCACTGCTGATCTTGCCACTGGTCAGCCATGGAAGCGGAGCTACTACGTGTCAGTGTCTACTCGTCTTCACTCACTCTACGTTGTAAAAAATATAATTAATTAATTATGCTTCTGAGTCTGACTGAGACAACCTGGTCAACTGCGGACGCACTGTTCTTGCTGACTCAATTCAACCTTGACGTGAAGCAAAATCTGACAAATGGTCAACAACCGCTGATTCGATTATTGATCTGATCAAAAGCCCACTGCAGAAAACCAAACCACCCGGGTCTCCTCCTGCTAGAAATCTGGCACGACGAGGCATGCGGAGGTCTGGCCTCGGTAGTCAATCTGGCAATTCACTTAGCATGAATTTTGTATATTATTATTAATTGATTTGAATTTTGTATATTGATTGATTGCCTTGGGCAAGTCTCTAACTAATGTCTAACATTTTTTACAAATGTTCTTGCCTGTTTGGAGATTGGTCCCGGTTTAGGGCTCGGAGTTGGGTCTGAGGTCAGGCAGAGTTCAAGTCTGATGGCTTCGGGCAGCTAGCAAATCGGAATCTTGCGCGGGAGAGGGTGGTTCGGTTTACACTTACGACTTACATTCAAAGCTTGCGGAAGCTCCGTATTTATCAGGGGGCGTTCGTCATCGGTTCTTACGCTCTCGGCAGGGTTAGGTCTTGCCCTGAAATTCCCACATCAAGAAACACATCACAGTCTTATTATACACTGTAACACTGACTACTCAACCCAACAACCATCAACCAATGGCCAATAATATCAGTTCAATACGACGTAACTAGTTGCTTGCTGGAAGAATAATCTTACTCTGCATTGACCCTCCTTTCTAATCTTGCGACCGCCCGGTCGGCATCCTATGGACGTCTGTTGATCTTACACCTTACTCCCTACCGTCTCTCCATATAGTGACTTTGCTATCTCTTACTCGTACGACCTCACGGCCGGCGTCCAAATGGACGTCTTGCTAATTCTTGCCGTATTACGACTCGGCTTCCCAGCCGCTGTTCTTACGACCTCACGGCCGGCGTCCGATGGACGTCTTGCAAAAACGGGCGCGACCTCCCGGTCGACCCGGCTAGCGTAAATCTTACTCCTAGACCCGGGCACGACCTCACGGTCGGCCCATTAACTCCTAACCCGAATCCTTAGGCGCTCACCCGGAAACCCTCACTGAGTACTTTGCCCGGGCTCCCAGCATCACCATGATCTTGTCCAAGACGTGAATGCTCTCTTGCTTGGGCTGGGCTTGCGGCTTCAGGAGGGCTGCATGGTGGGGTTGGTTTCTTTTCTTTTCGGGTCTTTGGGAATAGGGTTCTTACAATGGACTCGGGCCAAACCCTGCAAGACTCGCAAACCCCAAACCCTCCCAACTGCAGCGAAGCCGAAGTCTTGCCCTGACTGAACCTTCCCCCCTTCCCAAAACAAAAAGACACAGCAGCACGCATGATTATGATGACGATGATGATGGTGAGTATCTATATGTGTTCATATTTGTTGTTGCTATTAACTACATTCTTTATGCTGCTAACAGTTAGTAACAATGTAATTGCCTAAGCCTCTGGCTACACTATTGTCAAGTTTGTTCTTTCGACTCAACTGTTGTTTATTCTTTCTGGTTACAAGCAGAGGGATGATCGTGATATTATTGTACTCAATCTTGCTGAAACCTGCTGATTATAAAATAGTACTATTGTTCTTGTTAGCCAGTATTCAGTGTTACAACAGGCAAAACCACGAATAATCTAGCTAAGTCAAAGTGTGTATTTAATTATTCATCACTTATACGGCAGTATGTTTTGATTAGTGTTGACATCATATCATACACAAGTTCATAAAGCTGCTTAATTATTATACAGAACCACTCAAAGAAAATAGATGCATATCCAGGACACACATGTTCTGCGTCCAAATTAAGCAATCAGGAAACTGAGTTTTTTTATTATTGATACTATTAGAATATGAATTGGGATCGTACCGGTGATAGGCAGGCCCCTGTGAGAAATAGTGTGCTGATGATGAGTTATTTAAAAATTATTGTTTAAATTGTTACCACTAGCGATAGTATCACAAATTGAATAATAAGAAATAGCTAACAAACAATATACTTTATTGACAATGGCCTGTATGGACATTGATTATCAATTAGTAACTCTGAACAGCACACTAACAAGTATTCTGCAAGTTAATTGTTCATGACAGGGTTCCCATATTGTTCATCTATGACTAAGAATACAAGCCATTCAGTCTTCGAATGCAAATCTATTATACTATGAGCCATTCGTGATAAGGTTAAATTATGCACATTATTGCTAATACTTTTTAGTTTATTAGTTTTTCACATTCATTGTAATTTCACCTTTGTATTTTTTGAATATAAATATTACTAAAATTATTAATATGAGACTTAATAAATATTTGTATTTAATACATCATTAATAATACTAGTATTAGTAATATTTAATTACTAATTTAATTAGTGTATTAGTATTATTAGTTCTGTTGTTACAAATTATATTGAAATATCAGTATCATAAGTACTAGTATTTAAATAAATTTAAGTATAATAATAATTTATGTAACATTAGTATTAGGATTTAATTAGTATTAGTATTAAACAAATTAGTATTAGCATTAATATTAGTATTAGTAGTTATTATTAGTAGTATTATTATATTAGTATTAGTATTATTAGTATTATATTAGTATTCGTATTATTGATATTAATATTAATATTAATTATAATTAAATGAATATTAATTAGTTATTATTAGTATTATTAGTATTAATTAATATTAATAATATTAGAATTTAATAATAAAGGTTCGAAGGAGGGGAGGTGTTCGGCGAGGGTTCGGCGAACGCCGGCGGGGTTCGACGAACTTCGGGCGAAGGGTCGGGTCTTGCCTTTCCAAAGTGTTGCCCCCTTCTGTGTTGCCCTGAGTTATACTTCATAACTTAACTTATAATTTTATAATGATATAATCGCCCACAAAATATTCGGCACACATACATACACCACAGGATCGAGACGTTGGGCTTCAGGCTTTAAGTTTGGGGTTACGGTTCGGGTTTTAGGGCCTAGACTGCTTAGCTTAAGCTGGCTTAAGCGGCGGTTTTAGGGCTTTAGGGTGGTTGTGGCTTCAACTGGGGATGGAAACGGTTTGAGTCTGAGTTTAGGGCCTTCCGTGCCTTCAGTTTGCAGCAAATCATCGGAGCCGCAAAAAGGCGGACTGCCACAACGTACTGCCGGAACTAAACTGTACCCTGTACAAATCGCAGCTCTATGTGACTAGGCCGATTGCCCCTCGAGTTCTGATCTTCTACTTGCCTTTCAGATTAAGCATGCTCTGTGCCTTCTTCAACAAAACGGGATCCATGCACAAGCTCTTCGACAAAGCCAGCTGATGGCATCTGCTCACCAGCCCGATGCGGGTCTCGCCGCCACCCAGGTCGCGGACCATGGCTTGGGCCATTGTCATACTGATTTGAAGGCCCTGTAGCGATCGCAAGTTCACGATTTTAACACCGCCTTCAGTCTTGCCAGTGTCACCCGATGCCTGAAAGCTGTCGATATCCGCCTCGATCGCCGACACCAGCGAAAGGCATGTAGACGAAATTGCACTGCCTTGGGGAAGATGCCGCAAGCTCTGCGACAGCCACTGTCGCACTGAAGACAAAGACTCTGAAGCCCGTGCTGCAAACAAGGCCACCTTCTGCCCAGCGGGGTCACTCACCAGCGCCTGAATGGCCTGCTTATTGAGGGACTCTGCCTGGAAGAGTTCCGGTGCTCCATGCTTGCTCGCCACCGTCTCGTACAAGGATCGGCCATCCCGCACGATGGCAGCGACTTCATTGTTGGCAAAGTTCAGTGCACGGCCCACCTGCTCCTGGATCTTGGCTGTGAGCCACTTGTAGTAAGCCTCCACGGATGCGAAGGTGATGTCGTCCTTCTTGCTGTCGTTGGCCACTGCATCAAACTGCTGAAGTGCTTGAGCGATGTGGGTGAGGATAGGAGCCGTGGCACCAAGGATAGATGCCCTGCTTCGGAAAACGAAAGTCTTGTCCTGTGCCTTGAGAGCTCCCACTGCTAAGTCCAAGACGTCATTGAAGATCCCCGCCTCCTCTGCCTTTTGCAGGCTGGTCTTGAGCGAACGAACATATTTGGAGATTTGCGCCAAGACACCACACATGCATATGAAGGATACATGCATGTCAACCTGAGTTTGGGCATCGGCATCAGTGTCTTTCTTCGGGTGGATGACCTTCATGGATCGCCCCGGTCCAGATCTCAAGGGCTTTACTAGGGAAGAAGACACGGACACAAAGTCAACCTTGCTCCCCTCCTCGAAGTCGGCAACTTGGGCGAAGTTCGTGTCGTTGTTGAAGATCTCCTCGTAGTTGGGCTCGGTCTGGAGCAAAGCAAAAGTGAACTCCAGGAAGGTCGCTGCCGTGGTTGCAATCCAATCCTTTGCATTGCCCTCTAAGAACCCCTGTGCGGCCTGTAGACCCAAGTTGAACCACGGTGCAGTCTTGCCCACGCTCTGGATCACGGCATCGTCGTGCAGCAACACGTACAGGTCGATCACCTTCTGGTGTAGGATGCCACCCTCGCTAGCAGGAACTGTGGTCAGCTTGACGAGGGCTTCAAAGTTGTGAGACAAGCACGTAAACAGCTTCCATGAACTATTCATGCAGGCTTCAAGTTCCTGAGCATGCACTTTGCCAAGGAATTTTAACGAAGCAAGCTTGTGCAAAGGCTGGCATGCAGCGAGATTTGACAAAAGGCTGCTGCAGCTTGCAACATCATCCTGCGACAAGCCCTTCTGCAAGCAAAGCTCGTTGAGGAAGCCGTCGATCTTTTCGTAGTCGCGAGTCTTGGTGGCCACCACACTGAGGAGGCCGCCCTTCAACTCAAGAATCTTCTGCTCCACAACATGCAACCGCTCTTTGTTTTGCGAAACGAAGGTCGCCGATGCCTCACTGGCTGCGAGCCATTTCGTGGTCATATCAATGACCTTCGACGAACTTGGCACACAGACCTCAAGCTCACCTTGGCTGCCTTTGTCTTTGTCTTTTGATGCCTTAAGCAAAGTGTCGACGGTCATGGCCTTGAGCTCCTGTGCAATGTTCGCGGCGGTGGCCAAGTCCAGGTGGAGGAGCTGTTCCCTTTTAACCCTGTTGATCTTTTCTGAGATGGTCTCCATGAGATGTATCCCGACAGGAAACAATGTCAAACTCTTGTGGAAAGAGCCCTGTTTGTTCTTGATCATCGCCGCCTTGTGCCCGCCCACAATGTCGCAGTCCTCCATGCTCAGCTCTTGCTCAGAAGTGGCATGAGTAACCAGACTACTCAAGCGACGAATGTCATCCTGCAGGAGGTTGGTCGTGGACTCGGCCACCACCGTCGCAAGGAAGGAGTCGTTGTACACCTGGAAGAACTTCGCGATGCGACCAACACTGGCATCCAAAGCCCGCCGAGCCTTGGCATTCGCCTCTTCCTTGGAAGCGGCGGAGTCGGTATCAACCGACTGCTTGTGTGTGGCAGCCGATGAGGTAGAATCACATCCCTCCAAGGTTGGATCTTTCCAGCAGGTCAGCAACATAGAGTTCAAAGCCTGCACAAGCGAGCCAACCTGGAAGTCGAAGATCTCCGGGTCATCACGTGGAGTTGTTGTGCTGCCGTTCATCACGGCACTGATGCCATTGGGATTGTCAGCAACTTTGTCAGGGTTCAGGAAGTCGAAGAAACCCGCGAACTCGTTTTTATAGATCTTGGCCTCAATCTCCCGGCGGCACACAACCATGTTGACGTTCTTCGGCAACTTGACTCCGACGGCCCGGAGGGCAGCAGCACGTGTGCTCAACGTGCCAGCACTGGCTTCCTCGTCGTGGAGGGCCTCAACGAACGACACCGCAGCCTCGACCATCGCGATCTTCTCCTTCAGACCCTCCCACACGACTGCAGCCCGGGAGTCCTCGCCACTGCCATCGCGACGAACAGCTTCTGAGTAGATTCCAATGAGGTCCTTAGCATCATTCCGTCACACAAATCATCATCGCAACATCATCTTACCGAACCTTATCAGTTTATGTTTATATAATTTGATAATTTATCCAGTCAATGCATCATAGAACCATTAACCACTGAATCAGTGAATCAAGAGTGGGCTTGTCATGCCTTTGCCCCCCCTAGCCAAAACCTTAAACTTAAACTACTTAAACTTAAACCGTAACCCTTAAACTATTTAAACCCGAAGCCGAAGCCGAAACCCCTATAGCCTATAGTCTATAGTCTATAGTCTATAGCCTATAGCCTATAGCCTATAGCTATAACTATAACTATAAGACTATAACTTATAACTATAACTATAAACCCTGGCCTAGCTTAAACCCGAGCCTAAACCTGACCTGCTCATAGAACCCTTTCAACACTTTCAACGAACCCATGTCTTTTTGGAAAAACGAGTCTGAGCTCCACCTGAAGCACGAACCAGATGGGGACTTCTTAGCACTGGGGCACCACTTCGAGGCCAGAGCAACGGCAACAAATCGTAATTCTTAGCATTGGGGCACCACTTCGAGACCAGAACAACGGCAACAAATCGTACTTCTTAGCACTGGGGCACCACTTCGAGCCCAGAGCAACGGCAACAAATCGTACTTCTTAGCACTGGGGCACCACTTCGAGGCCAGAGCAACGGCAACAAATCGTACTTCTTAGCACTGGGGCACCACTTCGAGACCAGAACAACGGCAACAACTCGTACTTCTTAGCACTGGGGCACCACTTCGAGGCCAGAGCAACGGCAACAAATCGTACTTCTTAGCACTGGGGCACCACTTTGAGGCCAGAGCAACGGCAACAAATCGTACTTCTTAGCACTGGGGCACCACTTCAAGTCCAGAGCAGTGGCGATTAATCGTACTTCTTAGCACTGGGGCACCACTTCGAGACCAGAGCAACGGCAACAAAACTAAAACCCTGCCCTGAACGAAAACAACTCAGCTCGGGAAGCCAAGACTCCTCGGACAAGCGGTTCTTCAAGCTCTTCAGCAAGCTGGTGGCCTTCTGCAACTGAACCGACATGAAAGACTCGGGGCATTGGAGGCATCCGATAAGCTGGGTAGCTTGGAGTACTAAGGCTTCGCTCTTGTCGAGCTCGCGGGACTCGGCTGCTTGCTTTCGACTCTTGCTCTTGGGCACCGGCTGCGGATGCGAAGCTTGAGAAGCTGACGAGCCGGGCGCAGGCTGGGCAGATCTGCCGCTGAAGCTCTCCAAGCCCCGCTTGGCTTGGCGAGTCCGCCCTTGCACACGTGTCTCCTCGATCTCGCCACCAGACGTGGAGCCGTGGTCCCGCCCCGCAGCGGAACTACCACCACCGCCTACTCCTCCCCACAGGATGGCTGTCAGGTCATCCTCGAGACTCTGGGACTTGGCGGGCATCCTCAAAGCCACTTCCTCATTGTCACCCTTGTTCTCCGACACCCTCGCCCGCACTTGCTGCTGCATAGCAGCAAACTTCGTCTCGCCCCCACTTCCTTCACCGTCGGCTTCGCCATCGCTGACGGACTCCACACGTTGGCGCTTGGCCGTTTTCGCCGCTGTCTGAAGCACCTCGATGGCACCCAAGGTCCAGGACTGCCTCAGCAGCCCTTTGACACGCCTGCCGGCATGCTCAATCGTCGTGAGCTTCTTGTGCTGAAAGTCCACCTTCTCCTGCTTCAAAAGTGCTTTGGGCCACAAGTAACCCAAAACCTGGCGAGTTTCCAGCGAAGTGCTCTGCTCGGCGATCACGGCAGTGGACTTCTTATCAACTCGCTGCCTCTTGCCTTGCCGGCGTAGCTCTTCCCAGTTCTCCAGTTTCTGCAGGTAGGAGTCTCGGAAAGACTGCTCGCCCAGGTTCTGCTGGAGCTCGGAAGCATCCATCTTGGAGAGCTCTGGGTCGGAACTCTGAATTGTGAAGCAGCTGCGACACTCCTTTGACAGGGGAGTCCGCCGCGGCAAGTAATCATCGGGCTTTGGAGACATCACCAGCGGGTTCGGGGAGCGGAAAGACCTGCAGCACCACTTGCACTTGTCGCCGGCGGCCGACTTCGCACTCATTCTGTAGAAGGCACAAAGAGTGCCAGCTCTGAAAGGCAAAACAGCAGCAATCAGCCCTACGGGCAGCTAAACATCATTGTGCCGGGATTGCAATCAGGAGAATAGGCAGTTCACAGCACTCACAATCGCAGCAACAATGCACTGCACAGCTTGTCTGCTCCGGTCACAACTGAACTGTACTGAAGTCTTGATGGTAAGTCTTCGCACGAAGTCTTTTCGACAAGATCCTGATCCGCCTCAGTTTTATTAATTCAACCACACACAGCAAGGACACAGACACAAACCGCGGCTATACAGTCGGTGATCGTAGAGTCTTGTATCGTCTGCTAGAAAACCCAGCCAAACGTCTTGCTGCCCCAGTTCTGCCACCGATTACAGCAGTGCAGCAACTAAAAAGATGCTCTCATGATAAATTGATGATATATCAAATATGTGATATGTAGATGAACAAGGTAGGTGCTGTAATCGGTGGTTGGAGTAGCATGAAAAACGTGGCTGCAGAGAGGCTTCGTCCAAATCCCAGCTTTCAAAGTACTAATGGCCAACTGGGCCACACGACCAAATGATCTCATGTGACGAGAAGGGATTCGCATAAAGCCAGCCATAAAGCACATGTAAAGGCTGTAAAGGCATAAAGGCCAAAAAGACACATTGGAACTACAGGGCCCAACGTCTTTACGGTAAAGTCGGTTGAGTTGTTACATACTCTTCCTCGAAAACAGTCGCGAGATTGCGACGTGAAGTTGCTAGAGCCAAAGCTTCGTCATCTTCTGCACGGGCAGGACGGCGGCGCTGTTTCTTGTTGACGATGAACCCCCTGAAACTGGCCACACTCCTCGCATCGTCAGAGTCATTGATGTCAACGTCAGGTGACAAAGCAAAGGTATCATAAGCTGACGACCTCTTTAATGGCGGTAGCTGCAAAGGACTCGGACTTTCGCTCGGTGTTCTCGGGCCTGGAACCGGTCGTGTAGGAGTCGGAGTATGCGAGCCAATGGATAAGCAAGCCGGGGTCTCTGATTCATTCGGAGAAGCCGAAGCCGAAAGCGAGGATGCCGGCGATTGCAACTGCAAAGGCTGTGACTGCCAAGGTGACGGTGGCCACGAGCCCAACCCCATACCCACAAGTTCACGATGATGCGGTTGATTAGGACTGCATTGATCGCTTCGAACACGTTCTTGCTGTCGCAGCCAAGCCATGTAGTAGGGGTTTAGGGCTGGGCAATTCAAGACTCGCTCTTCCTGACTCTCAGCCGCATCCTCCATGCTAGCGGGGAACAACGGGCAGGGGCACAAATCAACCAAGCAACTGCCGGTCACTGAGACAAAGGACCTACGGCGACAAGAAGCGGTGACGTGCATCACCTGGACCACACTCTGAGAGGATTCGTGAATGAGTTAGGGGCTGCCCCCACCCTGTAATAGTGACCATAAGGATTATATACTTATATAATAATTATATAATTATATTATATAATTATATTTATATAATAGAGAGGATGATATTAGGGCCCTATTATGCTCCTATTATACCACTATTACAGGGTGGGGGCAGCTCCGAATGAATGAGTCTCAGTCTGGTTCAAAACTAATGTCCCTCGGCTTTTGGAAAGCCGAACATCGAATCACAACATGACAACATCTATGCAACCCATGCAGTTAGTTCGTCTGTACACGACACTGCACACCACTCGCAATGTACTCCTGAATACCGGTGGTGCTGGTGGTGGTGATGGTTGTGGTGGTTGTTGTGGTTGTTGTGGTTGTTGTGGTAGTTGTGGTGGTAGTTGTGGTGGTAGTTGTGGTGGTAGTTGTGGTGGTAGTTGTGGTTGTGGCGGTGGTTGTGGTGGTGGTTGTTGCGGTGCTTGTGGTTGTTGTGGCTGTTGCGGTTGTTGTGATTGCTGTGGCTGTCGTGGTTGTTGTGTTCGTTGTGGTTGTTGAGTTTGTTGTCGTTGGTGGTGATGACAGCGGCGGAATGCAGAATCTGCAGATTTGGGCCCCTACTTTGGAGGCTGCGATAGGCCCGGATTCTACCAAATTTTTAACGCTTATCTGCCCCAAAATAAGCATTAAATCCGGTGGAGAAAATAGTCGTTAAATTCTCTGAATCCCCTATCTAGGCTGGACATTTAATGCTTATTTCTTGGCCCGGATTTAATGCTTATTTTGGGGGATTTAATCGTTAAATCCTGGGACATAAAACCCCACTCCAGGCTCAAATATTGGCCCAGAAGTCTGGATTTCGGGATGCCTGTTAACTCGACTCGCAACGTGAACAAACACAAGCTGGCTGGTGTCATCCGCAGCCGTTAGGGAATGCAAGAACTATCATATCATTATCATCGTCGAATCATCGTCATCGCATGGTCCACCACCACCACCACCACCACCGTGAAGCTAGCATGACGGACGGCTAGAGGGATTAGGAATGTGTAGGGAGAAATTCGAAAGTCTGACAACAGGCACGGCCCTAGTGAGGCATGTTCGAATAAAAGCCCATATAAGATCTGCATCCAGAAATATCTCCACCACCAAATTGACGATTATTTCAATTGTGAGAACAAGACTTTGCTTCAGAATCCGTTCTTCGATTCGTCTCTGGCCCTGGCTGAGGAAAGGTGAAGCAAAGCTAGGTCTAAAGTGATTGCTTCGCAATCACCCACTCCAGGGACTCCAAAATTACGCAGAACATTAACAGATTATTAACATACCTCACAACTCAAACCAACAATCCATCTATGATCTAAGTTGATGATCTAAGTATACAAGGTATGCTGAGTTGTGAGGTATGCTTGAATTATGAGGTGGAGTCTCTGGGAACACAGACCATGGAGTCACTGAGACTCCTGCTCCGCAAACAACAGCTCCTTCTTATCTTTAAGATAACAAGCCCAAAGGGTTCAAGATAGTAGAACGTGGGGTTTCTATATTATATGAGGAATAACTTATTCGGAATAACTATCATGAGTTGGGTAAGCAAACCCCGATATTTGTAACAGTAAGATAGTAGAAGGTGGGGTTTCTATATGAGGAACTAAGGAACTACTATCATGAGCTGGGTTAGTAACTATTAAAAACCCTAAAGTATCCCTAAAGCCTAAAACACCTTAAACCCTAAGCCTAAGCCTAAACCCCCTACAACCTTAAACCCTAAACTCCCTAAAATCTTAAACCCTAAACCGCCTAAACCCCTTAAACCCCAAGCAAGTAGGACCCTTTGGGAAAGTCGAACGATGCTCGGTCCGGTCTTCCACTGCTCCGCCGCAACGGAGGCGCCTCCGAGAGCAGAGGTTCCGGGCACTGAGCTTTCAGAGGGGGTTGGGGCGTTTAGGCTTAGGCGGCTTAGGGTTTTAGGTTTAGGGCTTTTAAGGTTTATATAAGGGTTTAGGCTTTAGGGATTTAGGGTTTTTAGGAGGGATTTACGGTTTTAGGCTTTTAGGGTTTAGTTTAGGGGTTCGGGGTTGGGGCTTTCAGGGTTCAATTACCTTTGGTTTGTAGGGAATGGAGGAATGGGCACAATAATAACTACTATGACTATGACTATGACTATGACTAATTATTAAGTATACTACCATTCTTCCATTCCCTACAAACCAAAGGTAAGGTTCAGGGGGTCGGGCTTTTAGGGTTTAGGATGGTTTATTTTTTCTGGGTTGGGTTTTTTTAGGATGGTCTAGGGTTTACGGGGTTGGGCGGCCTATGGCCGCAAAGCGCAAACTCACACACAATCTGATTGAGTGCCGAAGTCGAAGATGGAATCACTCCATGTCCGCAAACTTCTGGAACTTGCCTTGAGGCTGTTGGGGATACTGAGGAGTGTCAGCATTTTCGCAACAAAATCTACCGTTTCTACTGCTACTAAGTCACTGTCCTGGTATATCTTCTTAGGGTCGCAGGTGCAAGCGCCGAAAGCCAGGAGGTTCGGCAAGAACCGCTAGATCGCCAAGAAGCCGCCACGAAGCAGCTCGGACCATGACGAGAAACTACGAGGAGAGGGTTGGGGCTGCTTGAGGTTTGCGGCGATTTGTGGTGGGGCTCGGAAGCCTAGAACCGTCAGTCCCACAGGCACTCACTCAGGCGACTCGGCGACATTCGGAACTTCTGCTGCAACCGCTTCTGCAATGCGAACATCTGTGCTGCTCAATGCGAATGCCTTGCAATCTCACATACGGACTGAGACTGGCACGAAACCTTTTGAACTCACTTTCGATCACGGACACGCATTCCGAGTGAAACCTTCAAAGCCCGAGCGGCATCTTGGTGTGCAGTCGCTGTGCTCTTGTGACTGCTCGCAAGCCACTGAAGCAGCAGATCCAGATTGGAATTGGAGCCATCATCGGGCTCAGAATTGCTAGCCTGAGGAAGCCAGCAATGACAGTTTTTGTGAAGCTTGCATTGTCCTTGCAGGGACTCGCGACCACTCCTCGCATCGATCATCCGTTTCACGACTCCAAGCACTTGAAGATGCCCTGAAGCTGCTTCAACTCGTTCTACACGGCACAGCTGCAAGCCGTTTCCGGGTCCGGCTTTGACGCACCTCACATATGACAAATCCTCGTCAGTCTGAATTATATCATCAGCCTCTCGACCCCGGTCATTGGAGCATGCGGCTGCACTAGTGTTCTGTACATGGCTCGATGAACATGAAGACGAAGAAGGCATGTCAGGCGGAGCCAAGAAGCCGTCAGCATCGGTCGGAACCGCAACCACAGGGCCATCGTCGGCAGCGGACAAGGCCGAAGCTTGGCGACGTCGTTTGTGCCCAGCCGCCGGTTGAGAATTGCTGCTGGGCGGGATCTCGTCTTCCTCCTCAATCTCAGTTTCTGAATCACTGCCAGTGCCTGCCGGATTTACGACAGTAGCCCTCTCTTCTACACGCCCAGCCGCCGCACGGCATTCTTGAAGCGATTGTCGTAGCGCCTGTACTTCTGCCACATCTAAGCCGAACCAGCAACCCGCCTAATATACTACACGCCGAAACCGCCAAAACTTAAACAAAACTGAAACCTGAACCGCCTAAACTTAAACCGAACCTGACCCCTACACCGCCCAAACCCCTAGCCTGGTCAACACTTACTTACTTAATAAATAGCACCTGGGCTCAGACCTTTCACCCTTAACCCTAAGCCTAGCCGAGCCTCAGCCCCATTAACTGGTAATTGCAGCAATCGGCCTCTACTTCGTCAGCTCCCAGAAGAGCCTGCATCTCAGGATCTGCGAGCACATCATCGTCCTCGCTTGGAACTTTTGGAGCATGCCGAGAACCCGTGTTGTTGTTGTGCCGCCGACGACGACGTGGAAACGTCTCAGATTCGGCTAGCAAGGCCATCAGATCAATGTCGAGACTATCTTCATTCGGACCCAAGTCTTGGCCATCGGGATCCGGAGCAGGAGTCTCATCAGTTTGGTTGTCATCAATATCAGTCTCCTCGCACAAAGGAGGACCATGGAGACTCGGATCTGGCCCCGCCACTGGCCCGTCTCCAGCCTGTACCATGACTGCTCCAACAGACTCATCCGGCCCGATCACACGTACACTCGCCGGATACAGGTCTTGAAACAACAGCTTGGTGAGCAACACTTGACAAGGACCTGACTCCGTTTCGTGGTTCATGTCCAGTAACATTTTCGCGAACTCATCCGTGTTGTACATCCGCAGCTTGCCAACACGAGGATAAGACCCATCGCCTTGCGGGGGCAGCCAGGCCTTCTTCATTGGTCTCCAATCATGGCAGGAAAGCTGAAGGTGCAAATCCTTGAATCGATCAATGCCCGCCCCGATCTGCTCATCCTCTTCGACAGGTGTGGCAATGACAAAAACCTGGTCTGGCGGATGTCGCCCGGAACGAGCTGACATTGCTGTCATAAATGCAAAGACTGTGACCTTCTCTCGCCGAGCAGTGATCACTTCACAGGCTATCAAAATGTCCGCCTTCACAGCTTCAGTGATCTTGCCGTGCATCTGCACGAGCTTCCCGAACGAAGTCATCAGTTTCACATGCAGCTGCACTCGCTGAACACACGCATGCATGCGACATTGAGCACCGCAGCAGGACTCATACACAACCCGCTCAGGAAAGGTTTCTTCTGGTGTGCTTGGCCGGGCAATCCGCTCTGTCTCAGTTCGGAACTTCTCCACCGCAGATTTCCAGGTCACTCCATTCTTTCGTTGCATTTGCCAAACGTTTTGGAGCGCTTTTTCAGACACGGGATAGTTCGCTTTTCCCACAGGTGCCTGATAGAGCATCGCCCCTAACCAAGAACTAACCTAACCACAAAACACGGCTCCAACACCTGTCACATTGGCTCACGGCTTTATGTTTTTATGGCTCAACCCTCAAACTGCCCAAGCTGGTTTCCAAACAACCAAATCAAAATAATCAAACAATCAAACAGTAACTGAAGGGTGAAGTGAAGCCTGATGAAGCCCGACAAGTGACTGCTTTGCCATGTCCATGTGTCGAGACGTCAAGGGCCTCAAATTTGCTCGTTGCCTCTGCTAAGGTTTTCGCCTCCATGAGGTCCTTAAAGGGAAGACGGGGCACATGACATGGAGGACGGATGCTGCCAGCACCTGCAGCCCTGGCCAAATCTTCAGCTTCAGCATCTCCGCCATCTGGCCTGGGAGCGGTGCGAGTGCCTTGCACTCGCTCCTGTTGATTTCGTCGTGCTGCAAAGTCAGCTCGTGCGGTCGCTCGGGCAGTTGCCGCAGCTGCAGCAGAATCAGCAGAAAGACTCTGATACACCTGCCGCTGCTCGTCTGTCAGCTGGTTGAACTCATTCCGGACCTCTTGCCAGACTTCTTTGCTGCATGGGTTCAGTTTGCCAACCAAGAGGCGTCTCTTCAAGAAATCCTTGCGGAAAAGCTCCAAAGCAGATAATGATTTCAGGCTCTTCTGCTTCTTCGATGCTCGCACCTCGATCTGGTCGAAAGCCTGCGACGAAGTAACAAGATCCACAACATGTTCACCAGGCTTTTTTTTGCAGTGTGCGACACTGTCCCCCTGGTGTTGCCGAAGAGCTGCTGTGTTGATGTATTTTGCACATATCGTGCTGAATGAGCTGCCTGCATTCAACCTGTTCACAGCATGGGTCTGTTCAACGTCAGCGATCGTCCAATTCAGTGTGCTACCGTAGAAGTAAAGCAGTGTGCGCCAACGGCTCGTAGACAGGTCTGCCGCAGACAACTGTCTTTGTTTCAAGGTGCGAGCCACACCAGGTGGGATGCAGCAGCAAGATTTACTATCCCACTCCCGAGCCACCTTCGCCGCAACGCCTGGATCTGCATCGGGGTCTCCAAGTACAGCAATGGCATATTGTAAAGAATGTATGTAAGTATACTGTCGGCGGTAAATCCAACCAGACATGAGTAGCAATGCTCGCCGAAGTTGTCGTACTTTGCCAGGCTCGCATAAACAGAACTCTTCGTATGTGGAGTACGGCGACCAAAGAAGCTTCAAGCGACCCTGCCCAGTGATGCTCATTGCCATCTCCCCAAGGTGTTGCAGCAGTCCTTCGACCACACTCACAGATGGGTCCAGAATCTCAAACAAAACCTGGACATTTCAGTAACCAGGGAGAAAAGTACAGTATAGAAGTATCGACTGTTTCATTTTTCATGATGGTTCGTTTATGATTTATGAACCATATATCCCAAAAAAAGTATCCCAAAAAAGTATTAAAATATGGTATTCCAAAGCCCAGAAACGCAACGTTTTTCACGGTTCAAACTCTTCTTGAGCGACCCCAGCCAGTAGAAAGTAAGGCAACGTGAGGCTTCCATGACAACTGATAAAAGGGATATCACCCAGGGGCTGCCCGTATCATGCAAAAAACCAAGAGAACTCTGGAAGCGTCGGCCGTTGACGGCTGAAAAAGATAATGCTTCTATCATTCGGGGGTCCATGTTCTGGGCACCCTCCTCGAATTCAGCGAATTGAAGATTGCCGAAGGCCAAACTGAACACATCCGGCAACCATCTTGAGAGAAGAAATCCACCCATGCAGAAATCGATAGACATATGCATCGTGGTCCATTTCGACGGCACCGGCACCGTCGGAATACAGGACAAAAAGGCATCTGTCAAGGCGCTTACAAGCTTCCGAACACAATCTTGCCGGTCCTTGCTGTCAGCGAATCTCAACAGAAGTTAGGGTTTCGGTAGGCGGTATGCAGTTCAGGCTCTTTAGGGTGTTTATGGCTACGGTTAAGCATTGCCGTTTCAGTTACGGTTACGGTTAGGGCCTAGGGGTTACGACGACTGGGTTTCATTTGATTACGGTTTACGCAGTTTAAACCAAGCCAGCCTCACAGCAGCGATGCTCACGAGCAAGGTTCGGGCGAGTACAAACATGTACCAAACCAGCACCGACTGGGCCATTGCACAACTTCGTCACACGTGCAAATTTTTCGTGGTAACCATGGGCAACGTGATCTGCAGCCTCAGATTCCAAATCTTTCCAAAACAGCATGTAATCCACGAACTCTTGGACGTGAGGGTTGCACGGTGGCAGCTCAGACTTGTGGGCAGCATCTTGTCGAAAAACCAGGGAATCGGACACCCACTGCCGAAGAGCTTGCTGCATTCTGCTCCAATATCCGAGATTCCTAAGAAATATCGAAAGGGCATATAAACGGTTTAAGGTGTTCGTGTCAAGGCTGGTAAGCAAAGCCACGTTCATGAGCTGGGTAGCGTGGTTTTGGCATCTGGCATGCGACATCAACTTCTTCTGATTTTTGGCAAGTTGGTATAGATGAGCGAGTAATTTCTCGTTGCTTCTTGCGCCATCCGCTTCAAGAAGGTCAAATGCTTCCTCAGATGCATCCTGTAGCACTGCGATAAGACGGTTCACACATTGGAAACTCGGGTGATGAAGCAATGCGTAAAATTGGTGTGCAGCTCCAGTGGACAGCATCACGATTGGAGGAAGGACAAGTGGCAGCACCAAACTCTCACCTGACTCCCAAACCACCACCACTCTCAAGCGATACACCATGGTCTGCCATGTGCTGCGGGCTCTGGTCTTGCTTTTGTCCGGGTTCAGAGAACACAAAAGGGATGTCTCGTCGAACTTCATGTGTTTAAAAACCACCAGTGGCCGCTTGGACCTCGTCAAAGATGCGAGTTTCGCCAGAACCAAAGCTTGTTGATTCATCCATGTCCCCGAAACGAAGACCTGCATGTTCTTGATGGTACTTTCACCCTTATTCAGGTAAGTGGCCACTGCTGTGTTGCGCTTAAATCGCCCGAAAGCAGCCTCCAAGAACTCAGCCCATGTGATGCTACGTTTGTATCGATTTCCATGCCTGGATACCTTGGACAATTGAAGCACAAGTCCGTTTGAACGATGCTCAGCTCGTACACCAATGATGTCTCCAGCGCTTGAAATGAATTTGGAATCATCTAACAAAGCAATCACATCTCGCCCAAGTGCAAAAGTTCTTCTGGCTAACTTGGCCATCCGCATATGGCTTGCCAACAATCGCTTCTCGTACATATCCCCATGTCTACCCCTGCCAACTTGTCCGACCTGGCTCGGGATGCTTGGGGCAGCCGGGACACACAATGCTTTCGCTGACGCATCCCCAATATTTGCACCATGAACCTGTTGCAAATCCGTACTCGGACTCGCCTCGCCAGAAGCACTCAGCAAAGACAGCAAGTCTGGTTGTGATGTAGCATCGACTCCTTCATCATTCGGAGCAGCATCAGCCAAAACCGGCACGACAGGATCACTGAAAAAGGCCAGTAAATCGAATTCCATTGCATGCGAGCAGGCGCTTTGTTGTTTATATTACCTATACCTGGTCTTGCGCCTTTCGACGATTGATAGCCACAATGCCTTCGATTAAACTGTTGGACTGTAGACATATAGATTATGGTGATTCTACCAGTATCATATCATAGCATATCACATATTTTAGACCTTAGATCTTTCATAACGACAATCCGCCCGCCTGAATTCATGCTGCAATCCATGCAGCTGCGATGTTTTCGAGGTTCCTGGAATCCTTAATTGGGTATTGGGGCCTTGCTCCTAGTTGATAGATGGACTCGGGTATTCAATGAACTCCGGATCAACCAGGGAGGAGGAATCGAACCTGACTAGGAATAAGGAATCAATTCGACAATCAGTGCAATGAGGTCTCGAACCTTGCTAGGGATAAGGTCTCAATCCCTCAGGAAGATCAAATCCTATCACAGAAACAAGAGTTAAACCTACCAGAAATAAGGGGTAAATCCTACCAGAAATAAGGCTTAAATCCTACCAGAGATAAGCGTTAAATGCCCAGAAATAAGCATTAAATCCTACCAGAAATAAGGCTTAAATCCTACCAGAGATAAGCGTTAAATGCCCAGAAATAAGCATTAAATCCTACCAGAAATAAGCATTAAATCCTTCCAGATCAAGGGTTACTTACAGTAGGGGTTTTCCTGTAAAGAACCGGGCTCCAAACGTGATAGAGCACACCTCCAAGTTATAGGCATAGGGCTTTAAGGTGGCAATCGGGCCATTCTCAAAACAGTCTTCCAGGGTTCTCGACAATATGTTCCTGCCAGGATTCTTCGGAATGATGTGGGGCACCTAACTACGGAGATATGGCAGCGCGAAGAGTCTGAGACAGCGGGAGTGAGAGCCAGAGACAGATCACAACACGTTGAGATAGATGGGGAGTGGACTTGCATTGCACATAGAAATGGGGGTTTCCGAAAATAGGGGACCCTAATTTAGTACCCCAAATAGTAGGATCCTTATTACAAGGACCCCAGAATAAGGTACCCCTACTTTTCGGAAACTCCCAAATGTTGGCGTACTATTGACCTGGCAGCGCTGCGAAAGCACTGCCTGACAGATTACTGTAAATACCGGTTAAGTACCCAGATAGCTCTATACTCTATGCGCCTTGAATGGAGAATATCCCTCAAAGTTTAACGGGGATCCTTCATCGAGTTTGATGTACATAGCTTAGTTTAAGCGGCAGTGGCCTCAGCGAGTAAAACTATAAGGGCCCGAAGCTACGCGCCCTCGAAACCCCCACAAACTTCACACTCTTGCACACACACACACACACACACCGGGAGCATATCTTTACAAAAACCTTCGGTCCTGGAAAGTCCGACCTCACGCCCCCGCCTTCAGCATGGATAACCCTACGGACCATTGCCATAGCTATAGCAACAAGAAGACCTAAACAGTATGCTTGAAACAGTAATTACAGCAAAAGCTCCAGATAACTGAATCCTAAATGGGTGGTTGTCAAAATTATGGTCCCTCTTTAGGTACCCTAAATATTAGGTGCCGTACTATAATAAGGATCCAAAAAGGGTCCCCAGTTTTGACAACCACCTAAATCTATCCCACCGCCCCAATCTGCACTCCGAGCTCCTGAAGCACCGCCACACTCTGGTCCTGCTGTGACGGGAACACGGCCTCAATCAGCAAAGCTTGGAGCCGTTTACTTCTAGATCCCAGCAGCCAGAGGATAGTTTGAACCTGAATCTCTCTCTCTGTCTCTCTCTCTCTCTCTCTTGCTTGCTTGCTTGCATGGCGTGTGGGGCAAGGGGGAAGCCCCCAAGACCCCCGCGCGCGAGCGCAACGCCTGAAGTCTGTGTTCGGTGTGAGACTGTTTAGTGACCTCCAAGCTGCATGGCGCTTCAACTCGCAACCCCTTTACTCAGCCCTTGCTACTTGCGCCTCGTACAGCTTGTCGGTCTCTGTGCTATTTTCCGTGCCATTCACGGATTAGCAGCTGGGCGCCGTTTGGCTCAGCGGGGGCCCCCGTACCAGATGCTCCACAGTGTACACACATGCACACAAAGGTATCTTACTACCATCATGGGCGGCTCCCCGTGCTGCTTCTACTTTGTCCTAGGTGCTGGTTTGGTGGAGCTATGTTGTTTGTGCCAGTGCGGGTCCCGGGGGGAAACAAGCAGGCCGAGGTAAGGAGCACAGTAAGGGAACATCACACCTTGGGTCCCCGCACTGGTGGTGATGGTGTTGTTGTGGAGGGGCTCCGGTACGCAGGGGGGGAAGCAAAGGGGGGGGGCGAGGTTCCAGAGCATAAGTGGGAACATCACACACTGTACCGGATGCCCCGTCGGTGGATGCTGGTGGTTGTGTCTTGTTTACTATTGAAGAGGTGGGTCCCCTGTGCACTGTCAAAAACACCTTGCTACTGCACGCCGTTTGGCCAAACCTTTGAGACTCCTTTGAAAAACGCAGCATTACGCACAGGGGAGAGTCCCCTTGTTTAGTTGGGGTCAAACGCGGCGTGCATGCGCCGTCTGCGGTGCGTGGCTCGGTTGTCGAGCTCATTGTCCCCGTTCAGGTGTGCTTGCTGTTCGAAGCTTTGCCCGGGTCGACTTGTTGGGGTAGTCCGCGGTCTCCCCGTTGTCGTAGAGCGTCTTCTTCTGGGGAGACCCCAAGCTTCGTCTTCCGTCTCCGTGGAGGGGATATCTCGGGGGTCCCACCCCGGGAAGGCCGCCAGCCTGGCTTCTGTGGTGGCTCTTCTTCGGGCGTCCCCGTCCTGGTCTTGTGCCCCCGCAGGTCGCCAGAGCTCGTCAGGTTCGGGTCCCGGTACTGCAGGTGGCGGGTCCCATTGCACGGTCTCAGCCAAGTCATCCCCGACCAGGCGGATCGGCTCGTTCCATAAGGCGGTTGTCCACCGTTGGAGTAGGCGTAGCGCTTCCATTGCTACCGGTACTTGGTCTCCCACGAGTGTGGGCATGAGCTGCTGCAGGAGTTGTTGTGCTCGCAGTATCATATACGGTGTTGCTTCAGGGATTTCCCGGGTGCCTGCAGGTGGGGGCCTCGTGTCGGCAGCCTCGACGAGTCTTCGACGCTTTGCTGCGGGCTCTCTGGTGGCAGCGAGTTGAATAGCGGCCCCGACTCGTGGTGGTAAATCACGTCGTTGTCCGGTGGCTGTGGTGGTAAAGAGGGGGGGTTCCCCTGCAGTGCTTACCGCTCGGCTGTGGAATGCGGTGCTGGACGCTGCAGTGTGGCTGTGGGTACCTCCTTCCCCGTGGTGGGGGAGTTGGTGTTCCTGAGCCGGTTGCGTGGTCCCCGCACTGTCTGCTTGAGTGGCTGTCGGCAGGGGGTGGTGGGTTGCTTGGTGGTCGTCATGTGCTTGTTGGGCTTCGATCTCCAGAATGGCGTGGATCATTGCCTCTTGTGTGTCTTCTCCCGGCAGCAGCCAGGCTGAGCCCCTGGGGAGCGATCCTGCTTGGATGCTGGAAGGGTTTGCCTGTCCTCCAGGTGCGCTTGGAGTGGGAATGCTTGGGGTACCCGTGGTGTGACTGGACACGGGACCGAGGAGTAGGTCACGGAGCTGCCGGATATTGTGGAACTGCTGCGGTTGTGGTTGTGGTTGCTCCTGGTGTCTGTCCTGCCCCTGCTGGTGCCCTTCCCCCATCTGTCCCTGGTTATTCTGCAGGGTCTCACCTCTGTTGAGTGCCGCGTCTCCGGTTGCGAGGTGGTGGTTGTCTGTGGTGGAGGTGGTGGTTGTGGTGTGTCCCCTGCTGGGGCCATGGGTCAGCGGTGCCCTGCAAGTGTCTTCAGGGGTGACGGTCCAGGTGAAGGCTGCGGTCGCCGGTGGCTGTTGGTGGGGAGTCGGATGTGGGGCTCCGTGCTCAAGTCGGGTTGTGGGTCCCCGTGCGCTGCTTAGTGTTGCGGGGAACTGCTGTGGTTGTAGTTGTGGTTGCTCGTGGAGCGCTGGTGGTGTCGGTGGTGCCCCCGACTTCGGCCTGCTGGGCTCCTTGACGCTAGCGCTTTGTTGGTGGGTAGTCTGCATCAGCTCAGTTTTGTCTTCCTCCTCCGGTGGGCCTCCGCTTTCGCTGCCGTCGCTGCTGGGCCAATTGCGTTCTGTTTGGTCCCCGCTGTCGGTGCCGCTGTAACCCTGGCTTTGGGGGGCCAGTGGAGGTCTGGCTTTGGCCTGCCCGGGGACGTTCAGGGATCCCCGTAAGTTTCGGTGTAAGCTCGGGGGGACCTCCATGGGGGAGGGGATCTGCAAAATGCCCCGGAAGGACAGGTCTCCTGGTGTTCTTTCGACCAGGGTCCAATCGTCATCTTCCCAGACGATAATAAGGAAGCTGTCCCCTCTTCGAATGTCGATGTTGTCCGGGAGGGGTTGCTCGACGCCTGGTGCCCTGGACGGACCCTCGTCCACTTCAATGAGCCAGGCTCTCGGCAGCAGGGAGGTGGTCAGGTCCCACTTTTGGCGGTCGCAGCTGGCGAAGTCCCCGAGCGGGGTTGCTAGGAGGGACACTCCCTCCGGCAGGAATAGGGTTTGTCCTGCGGTATTGGTTGGGTCGAGGAGGACTTGCGGGTATGTCCCCTGAGCCACGAACGGCCGCCCTCCTCGGGCCGCCAGGATAACACGCATATCCCAGCGCCCGTTCCCCCGATAGAGGCAGAGCAGGTTATTATTACGCCTCAGGGGAAACGTTGGGGGGAGGGTTGGTGGTGTCCCCGATTCCAGCCACGTTACGAGGGCTTTGTGTGGGCGGAGGTGCAGCCTCTGTCTGTACTGTCGAGGTGTCCACCGATCCTGCTGGCTTGTGGTGGGGGTGGAGTTCTGCTGCGCCGGGCGGCCCCGTTGGTAGTTGGTTCCCGATGCTGCGGGTGTGGCTGTGGCAGTGGCAATGGCCGGTTCCACCGTTCCGCGGGCCTCCGCCGTGGCTCTGGCTGCTGTGCCCCTTTTGCTAGTGGGGTCTTCTGCTGGGTGCGGTGGCATCTGGTATTCGTAGGGTTCTGGTGGCGCTGCTGCAGCTGTGGTTGCGGTGGCGGAAGGAGTTGGCTCCTGGGCCTCCGGTGCTTGTGGAGGGGGGGGCTGGGTGGGTCCCCCGGAGCTAGATGCAGCTTGCTGGGCAGTGGCTTGTGGCGGTTGTGTGTTGCCTGGGGCTGCGTCCCCGGTGCTCTGGGTGCTGTCGGCGGCTTGCTGGGGTTGCCCCGGGGTGCTTATGGGAAGGAGGTGGCGGTTGAGGAGGTCAGCCCAATTGGTGTCCTCCTGTGGGGCTTGTGGCCGGCTGCGCTGGCCAGGCGGGTAGAGCCACTTTTCTGCCTCCTTCCATGTGAGGTGCTCTGGTTTAGTCCAGCCGCGCTGCTGGAAAGCGGCCTGCACGGCCGATTTGTGTTCTTTATTTCTTGTTCTCTGTTCTCCTCTTCCTTCTGGCCATCTGCTTTGCTTGTCCGTGCGGCCTGGACTTGCCTGCTCTGGCCCTCCTGCGCTGTCGTGTGCTGGGTCCCCTGCCGAGCTGGGTGTGCTGGCCGTGGCTGCTCGATCTGTAGTCGTGCGGGGCCGTGCCCGTTGGAACCTGCTGTGGTTGGGGGTCGGGTGGATGGGTCCCGGCTTGGGCTGTGTCCCCGCGTTGGCGCCTCCCGCCGGGGTGGTTCCCTGCTGCGGTGTGTGGGGGGCTGCAGGCTGTTGCTGGTTGGTTGTTCCTTGGGTCGCTCGGGTCTCCATGCTAGGTTGCTGAGGCTGTGGGCTCGCTGTGGCTGGCTGCGAGGTGTCGGCGGAGCCCTGGATTTCCTGGTCGTGGCCAGCCTCGGCCAATGGGTCGCTGCCTGCTGTGTCTGGTTGTGGAGGGTGAGGTCTCGGGGGCTCCGCGTTGGGAGCACCCTGGGTCTGCGTTTGGTCCTGTGGTTGTTGTGGTGTTCTTCCTGAGCGGCGGGCTCTGCTGCTGACGTCGGTGATGACTGGCCCTTGTGGCTTGCTCGGCTGTAGTGGTGGTTGTGGTGGTGTGTAAGCTGCGTTCTGGTGAGGTTGGTTGGGCTGCCTGGTGCGAGCGGACATGGTGCCGTTGTGTGCTGTCCTGCGGTGGGCCGGCCGGGTGGCTGGTGGTCGTCTTGGCGGGCTGTCCCCTTGTGCTCGGGGTTGCTCTGCTTGCGGCTGGCCGTGCTCTTCTGGGTCCTCGTCCTCTGATGCCGTTGGGTTCTCCGCTGCGGCTTGAGGTGTTGGTGGTTGGTGGGCTACTGCTGCCTGGCTGGAGACGGTGCCAGTGGAGAGAACGGGGTCACCGTCCAATCGGTCCAGTGTTGCGCGGAGCTGGGTCCACAGGTCCTCTGATGAGGTGGTTGGGTCTGGGGGGGTGGGCTTTGGTAATGCAGTGTTCTGGTGGCTAGCAGGTTGCTGCGCGGTCGCCGCTTGAAGTTCCTGTGGCGGTGCCTCTCTGGGTGGAGCTTTCGCAGGGGGCTCCTTGACGGGTGGGTGGGGGCGGGTTGGGGGTGTCGCCTGGACCCTCTCTCTCTCTCTCTCTCTCTCTCTCTCTCTCTCTCTCTGGCTACCTGCCTATCTGTCTAACTGTGGCTCTGTGTTAAGCTGTTTGTTTGCTCGTGAACCCACATATTAATACAACCCACATATTAATACATCAAATCGTTTATCGTTTATCGATCTACGTCTCTATCTATTTCTCACGCTCTCGCTCTCTCTCGCTCTGTCTCTCTGTCTGTCGGTCAGCGCGTTAGTAACTTACCAACTACTACTACTACTACTACTACTACTACTACTACTACTACTACTACTACTACTACTACTACGACTACGACTACGACTACGACTACGACTACTACGACTACTATGACTACCATTACTACTACTACGACTACGACTACGACGACGTCTATTGCTAGTACCACCCCTAGTACTACGACGACTACTAGTTCTACTACTACGGCTACGCAGACGACGGCGACTACTACTTACTGTGACTGTCACACTTCCACAAACCGACGGCTAATGCCCCGAACATATTCTCCAACTCAATTCCTAGCGCTAGGATACAGCACCCGATGTCCTCGACCGTGCTCGGGCCATCTCGCGCCCGAAACAGCATTGACCCGCATACATACTGGGGCCCCTTGCCCAATCTTGTAGCCGGAACAGGTGCATGGTGTTGGCATCATCCACCGCCACCACATATGCCTGCACTGAGGTGTTAGGGAGAAGCCACAACAGCAAGTTGAACCACCATGAAGCCGACTGCCCTCCAAAACAGTACTCTACCTTTTTGAGGTTTATTAAGGTTTAGGATTTAGGTTTCGGGGCGAGGGATGAAAAAGGCTTGGAGGTTTATGGTTAATGGTGTAAGGGGCAGCTGACCCAAACCACAAAAGATGAAGCCTCTTGGACCCATCCACCCTGAAGCACTAAACGAAACACACAGCACACACACACTCACGCACGCAGCCAAACCTTAAAGATCTAGACCTGCGGCCCTTCAACCCAACATCCAAACCCTCCAATACTGCAAGACTCTGACCCCGGATCCCTAATTCAAGAAATAGAGCAATCAACAAAAACGGCTCCGTAAGGGCTTTAGTCTGCTTGGTAGGAATGCAGGAAAACCCTGAACATCGTAAACACCTTCACAAACATCGGCAAAATTCACGAAATTCCCCACGAAGGGCGATAGCATTATATCACACCAGAAACACCTTCTAAACCTGACAAGACTTTCACAATCTTTGTTGCACCTTGTGAAAACTAAAGCTATAAGGATTCTCCCATCCAAGGAGGTCCGGAACCCTGTATAAAACTCCACAACTGCTGAACCCTTCTAAAACCTAAGCCCTTGTAACTTATAGTGCCCTAGAATAGAATATATCCGAACAGCCTATTCTAACGATCAGAAACCCTTAAACCCCTAACTCCTGGAACCCTCAACTCTGATGTAGCCTCATGTATCCCTTAAGCCTTAAAAGGAACCCTTAAAGCCCTAAAGGTTTAGGGTTTAGGGTTTAGGGTTCCCAGAAACTGGAGATCCCAAACCCTGCCTGTGAGGCGCACTCCAGCAATCGGAGGCGCCTGGGGGGAAGGCCATGAGCAGCACGAGCTTACTTGAAGGATCATGGGACTTAGTAAGTAGGTTCCTTTAAGGAGCTCCTTTACGGGATCTATATCGGGGTTCTTTAAGGGGTAGTTTAGGCTACTTAAAGGATCATGGGACTTAGTAAGTAGGTTATAATTGGGGTTATAAGTCCCCTAAGTGGGGCTATCCTAATTATAACCTACTTATAACCTTACTTACTAAGTTCCATGAGCCTTTAAGTAGAGTTCAGTGCTCTGGGGGTTTAGGATTTACGGCGTAGGGGTTTAGGGTTTAGAGTTTAGGACCGGGATTTAGGGTTTAGGATTTCGGGTGTTAGTTTGAAACTACAGCTACCTACAGGAAAACACAAGCCCCGCGCAACAGCAGCGGTCCCGCCTCGATGCGGCCTTTTTGCTTGGACCAAAAGCCTCCGTGATTCGGCTCCTGACAGGCGTGAGATGCGAGGGTTCTCCAGGTGAATGCCCGAAACGAATCAAGACTTTGCACTGTTGTCAAAAGTATAAGGACTGGGAATGCCAACATTAACACAGGGCTTCACACTGGTCTTCCTCCCGTCTCGAAAAACGTTGCTGGCTAAGCCAGTCTTCTCCACTATGGAGATCGGGATCGTGAGAGCTTGCCTCACCATAGACCACCAGACTTTGGGGTCTTGAGGCTTCGTCAAGATATCGCCCAACTGCAGACCGCTCGGGATCCATGCCAGAGGGAGATGCTCGGTCCAGCGCTCTTCTCGCAACGCTTGGCGCAGAGCGGCAAGGTCTATGGCAAGACGACGGTCCGCGGGAGTCCTCGGGACTCCCTCTCTGTGCAAATGGTCGTAAAGCGACCGGCAATCACTCAGACACACCAGGGGCATGACGGCATCTTCGATCTTCACAAGGCTGCCGGTGGAGAGGGTTTCGTAGATCGCTCGTACGTACTGACCTCCTTCAAGCCCTTCTACACACGCTTGGGTCTCAGCGCTGAAAGTGCTGCGGCAAACTCGTTGTCCTGCTCGGGACTTCCAGTCGAGGATGGATCCTCGCCCACTCCCGCCGGTGATGGCCTGCATGTCCGCGATCATCACCAGCTCGCCGAGTTGAGAGGCCACTCGAGAGTTGCCTCTCTTCGCCTTTCGACCGTTCCGATGGGAAGGAGGTCCTTCCCGTTGCAGCCCGTTCAACTTATCGTCATCGTAGAGCTCGAATCCCTCCTCGTCGTAGTCGCCCTCGTAGGCATTCGCCCAAGCCGCGTCGTGGTAGATCAGAAACACTGCCTCCTTGTTGTCCACCTTGTAGAAGACCAATCCCTCCTCGGAGAGCTCAGTCGCCTTCTTGGAGATCCCATTGGTAAACTTGACGTCACCGTACGTGGGGCACTTCTGTAGTTGCTGTGCCATGGACACCGAACACGTCAAATCGGGCCTCGATTGAGCTGAGACCCAGCTCAACGCCCCGATCAAGCTCCGGTTGTCGGCGAGGCAGTCGTTGTCCGCCAGGTCATCTTCATGCACGTTCTTGGGGAGGTCGATCGTAAAGAGGCGGCTGTCGATGTAGGGCTTCTGCCTGAAGAGCACTGAGTCCTCCCTGCAGATGATCTCAGATCCCAGGTAGGCGAACTCGTCGTCTTCCCAGGAATCGACCGGGAAAACCTTCGAGAGCTCGCTCTTCACCGCATCGCCAACGGATCTCGGAGCGACCACCAACAAGTCGTCGACGTGAGTACCGACGTAGGCAACCGGGGGTCCGGACATCTTGCCATCGACGACTCTCCGGAGGATGAAGATGCACGGGTCCAGGCCACATTGATCGAAGATGTGGTCAGCACCCTCGATGGTAACTGTGGCCCCTTTTATCCCACTCTGTAGGTCACCCCACCACTCGTGTGGGCTCGTAGCGAGCCCGAAGATGTTCTTCTTGATACGCACCAGTTGACGAGGATGGAGTCCGGCAAAGCCTGTGGAAGGCTGATGCAAGAAGAGCTCTTCTTCGCGTCGCAAGTACCCGCCGGTCAGAAAGGCACATCGTATATCCCCGGCACTGGCCCGCCAGGGGTCACTTTCGCCCAGACCGTTGGCGAGCAACTGCAGAAGGCACATCAGCCCAGGACGGGACAGTGTAGGAGCATCGGTGGACAAGCCGTTGGCCAAGTCTGGATCAGTATGTCCAGCGATTACAAGCCTCGCTTTACACTTCCAGGGCGTCGACTCATCGGTCCTGCGCTTTGACCAATTCTTGTCCTTGTACGCCCATCGGGATCTGAGAATCCTGGATGCATCGACTTGCTCCCTCACCCGGTCGCTGTCCGCGACGCTGAGGGGCTCCAGGGCGTCAAAGTCCAGGTGCTCCTTCCATTGCGTTTCCTCGGCCTCTTTGAACTGGGGCCGGGCGTCTCGTGGGATCTCGTCCCACCTAAGTTCCTTCTCCTGGCGCTTCTCGACGCCACGCTGCGTCAGCTCCTTCTTGGAGAAGTAGGTCTCGTTCACTTCTTTGTCATCGTCCACAATGTCGCCGGGCCTTGTCTTCCTCTTCAATCGTCTCAAAGGCGGAGGACCAGGTGGTGCAGGATCCGGAAGCTCCACGTCGCTGGGAGAGTAGTCGGAGAGGTGGTCATCGGCCACCATTTGATCATCACTTCCAAGTTCCATGGCGTCGAGTTTCTCGGCGTCGTAGGTCTCGTCAGCATCAAAGTCCATCTCCAACAGCTTCTCGACCTCGGCTTGGGCACCTTTGACCCGTAGGTATTCTCCGACTTCCTCAGGACCGGAGGGACGTAGATGTTCAGCAGCGGTGAGGCGGCATCGCCCGTTCTTGGAAATCCAGTAGTTCTCTCCTTCACGGCCGACCACAACGGCCGGTCCAGCCCACCTGCCTCGTCGGCGGTTCTTGGGTTGGTCCCAGAAGTGCACACTCTCTCCAACCTCAATGGGCCTCGTAGTTGTGCGGGCCCGCTGCAGAAGGGCCTTTCTCAGACGACTGTCTCCTTGAGCATGGTGGAAGGCGAGACGGGCCGCTGTCCGAATAGCGGTGGCCCTCTGGTATTGACTCTCTGGAGTCACGTCCCAGGTAACCTTTTCTCCGCCATCGGGGTCAACAAGTCCAGCTGGAAGCCGAGGATGGCGTCCAAAGACCCATTCAGTCGGAGTGTGTCCACATCGGCGTCGGAGCTCGTTCTTGGCGCTGGAGACAATGCTAGCGGCGAGATGCACCTCGTCCTTTGTGATGGACAGCTCGTGGCGGACTCTGTCCCATATATTCTTCCACCAAGCACCTTGTCGTTCTGTGATGCCTGCTTGCCAGTGGGCTTGCGCAGCGACGTTCTTCACAGCAATGTTGTGCCACTCGCAAAGCCGACAAATGCCCTTTTGGACCGCGCCGTCCAGATCCAATGACACCGTCTTCGGCGGTCCGAAAGGCACGACCCACTGATCGTTGAAGGCCTTCTCGATGTCCTCGTTGTCGAGCCCAGACAGGGGGATAACGATGTGGTAAGACGTCCCCCAGTCGACGATGGAAAGGAAGGTGTGCCTCACGTCGTCGATGTCGTGGTGGTGAAGGAGGTCCGCACCAACGCAGTCGTTGAAGTCGTACATGCGTGGCACCGCACTCGGTCTGGCAATTCGGGGACCAGAACAACTGGCACAGACTTCGCACTTCATCCCTTTGGCGGCTTTGAGCACTGCATCTTCACAGCCGGCTAGTCGTAGATGTCGCACAAGGTCTTCACGTCGGGGGTGGCCGAGGTTCTGGTGTAGTCGGCGAAGTGAACTCTGGATGATCGGACTCACCCCGGCTTCAAAAGTGATGGCGCTCCCATCATGACGCTGCTCTTTTGCTTTGACAGAACTGCTGGCCTCTTCCTCTACAACGAACACTTGGTGAGGATGCCGAGGGTCTCCGACTTGTTGCTCGCCAGGCCTTTGAACTCCAAACCCGGCCCATCTTTCACCATGTTGATCTTGATAGTTCCATAGCAGACTCCCGGCGAACTCCTTCAAGGCGAAACTCGGATCGCCTCCTCGAAAGACCACACTTCCACCTTCTCCGAGCTGCTCCTTAGCCAGGGCGAGGATCTCCTTCTTAAAGTCGTCGGGCATCTCTTGGAGATTGATCCGCAGCTCCTTGGGTGAAGCTGCCTTCACGAAGTGCACCGCATCCTCTCGTCGACGTGGGATGCCGTAGTCCTCCCACGTCATGGGTTCGATCACAGCCTTCCCGAGCTCCACCGCCTCATAGGTAGCGTCGATCCCTCCGATCTCGAACATCACGATGGGGTCGACCTGTACGTCCGGCAGGCGTTCGCACATAAAAAGAGCTGGCTGCGCACAACAGGGTCGTCATCATCACGCTCAAACGACCAACGGTATTGGCCAGCATATTCCTGATGCTCTTCTTTGGCCTCCGTGTGGAAGGGGAAGAACGCACTCCTCGTAGCTTGGGGAGCGGGTAGCCAACGTTGTTGAGCACCTTGCAGCACACTTTTGCTCGCTTTGATCACGCCGCGGGTGGTGTGATAGGTCACACTCCAGCGATCTCCTTCCCATGGACAGGTACAGTGGTGGTGGTGCGGATTGAAAGCGAGGAACTTCTCCTTGGTGGATCGGGTGCGTCCAGGTAGCCATGCGCCACCACGACTTCGCTTCCAAATGAAGTTGCCGTGCTGCACGCTGCCCTCGTCGATATCCTTGTCCTCCAACCAAAGATCGCCTCCTGCACTTTGACCAAAGCTACACGTGTAGTTCGCAGTCCCTTGTAGGTTGTTGTAGTCGCGATGGATCCCAGCCTCCACATTCTTCCCGATGGTCACCGAAGTCCATGTCTCGCCGTTATTCATCTTGGTCATCCCAAACGAGTTCAGGTAGCGGGCAAGATGGGGCCTCTCGACGGTGAGCTTTGTGATCCCCTGCACGCCCCCATGGGTGAAGAGCCCGAAGGTGAAGTAGTTGTGCATCTTGACTTCGGGGTCGCTGTCGTGGAAGGGAGTCCCTCGATCATTGCGGCGGGGTTTCAAGTCAGAGTTCTCGAGGATACGCTGCAGGGTCGCAAAGCGGAAATCAGCTCGCTCATAGGCCTGCTGGGCGAGTTGTTCTCCAAGCGGAAGATCTTCACGAGCTCCTGCGGGGTTCGCCGTGGTCTTGAACACGTCGTGCTGATCGCTCAAGGCCTTCGTGAGGTCGCCGTCGACGAGTACGTCTTCAAAAACAACGGCAACTCCACAACAGCCCTCTCGCGGGAACTTGCCCGCGAACTCCTCAGCACTCAGTTGTCCCCGCCCCGGGTCCTGGCCTTGTCCTTCAACAGGGCCAAGCGTAGCTCCAACTTCTTGATCTCCTCGGCCGTCTCCTCGTCGATCTCGTCCTCCATCACCTCCTTGGTGGTGCTCGGTGGGCGCCTCTTCGTGTTGGTAGTAGAACTCGTCTCGGGAGGCAGCGGCATCTGCCTTCCTTGATCTGAGGTCGCCGTACGAGCTGGATTCCAACTCGTCTCCCAGCAGTGACTGGTCACTGTGTCCCACGAGCCCGCTTCCGAGCTCGTTGCCGTCGGGATTGCCCGGTGGCTCGCCTGGTCGATCGTCGCGACGTAGCCCTTGTTGTTCGCCTCCTTGTTCTCCCACCAGCGCGCATAGCGGACCAAGTCGGGGTCCGCGGTCTTGGAGGTCTTCACTTCGTTGCTGGCCCATTGACCGTATTGCCACGGTATCTCGCGGAACTCCATCCCGCGAAACTTGCCGATCTTCATCAACTCGTTGTCCGGTGTGTTCAACGAGTCTCTCACCAAACGTAGGAGATTGCCCTTGGTGATCTTCTCCGGGAAGGCAACGTCGAGCTCGCGGGCTTTCAACTTGAGCTCCTCCATGGTGAGGTGGGCGAGCCGCTTCATCTTCTCGGTGGCGTCGCCGTCCTTCATCCTCTCCCTGTGTTCCATGATCACGGCTTTGATCTCCTCCGAGCTCCACGACTTGTGGACGGTGAGGCCGAGGCGAATGCATTCTGCAAGAAGTTGCGGTTTCGTCATCTTGCTGATCGCCACGGGTGGATTGCATGGTGAGCTGTCCATCGAGGGCGCGACGAGTGGCTCCGAGAGTTTGGGGTCTCTTGTCAAAGACAGTCCTGCCGATCCACAACAGCGGCATGGTCGACATACATGGTGTTCCGCCCTTCCATGGATCAACGACTGTCTCAAGCCACCTCTCGGAACTGCAGCAAACAGCTTCTGTACTCCTGACATCACCAAGCGTCGACAACAGCATACTCTTTAGTACCGTAGACGACGTGTTCCACAAAGCTGGACTAAACAATGCTCTTCTCGGGGTAACATGAACTCTGATCCACGAGGTCTCGGTTTCTACCCAAAAATCTCCCCCAACTTCACACTGCTTCCACCATGTCATAAAGTCATCACGGCAAAGGTGAGTTTGGTTGAGCATGTTCTTAACTTCGGGGGGAAGTTTCTTCTCGTAGTAGAGGTTGTAGAAGTTCTGGGGCTTAACTCCGGAAAACGCAACTGCATGGACCGTGTATTGCACGCGGGGCTCGAGGCTCACATCTTCGACCGGCAAGACAGAATTGAACCCGTGAGCCGGCTTTGCAGGCACAATCGGGATCGCAGGGTGCCCCGACGCAGTGGCGAGGAGCTTGTAGTTCCTCAGCCCCACATGTGTAAAATCAGCACAACCGACCGAAACATCATAGATCATCCCCATCTTGCCTAAGACCGTCTTGGACAGAAGCAGGGGCACATCTCCCGGGATAATAGAGGCTCGAAGCTGTACGATCTTGTCACCAAGGGAGAAGGAAAGCAGCACGCTGAACGACGAGTAATGAATGCGCCCCGTCCCGAACTTGTAAGCCTCACACTCCTTAGAAAGCTCAGGTTGGGCGCCGTCCTCGCCGATCCGGTCCATGTACTCCTGGAGCCACTGAGTGCCAGCAACAGTGCGAGAGCAAGCAGTGTCTGTGATCCCCAAGAGCAGGCCGCTCACGTGCTTCACCGTCATGACTTCGGCCGGCATCGTCACACAGACCTCTTTGACGGAAGCGTTTTGCCTGGCACCCTGGTGGTCCTTTGTGCCAGTATTGTTGGGACACTCCTCGTCTTTGTGCCAATGACCTCGCCTCCCACAGCCGGAGCAGAACGACCTGGCTTTGATCTGCTTCAGCTTCTCATCACGCACCTTAGCGGCGCTCCCGGCGCCGTCTCCTCCTTTGCCACCGCCTGAGCCGCCATCGTTGTTCCCAATCTCGCCCTTGAAGCCGCGAGCCTTGCTGTGCTCGCGGTACTTGTTCTTGGCCGTCTGGTAGGTGACGTAGGCGACCGCGACTTCTTCAGGCATGCACTCTTCACCATCACCATCCACCATTTCGCGTCCTGAATCATCATCGGCATCATCGGGGTGGTCGGTGACATGTGCCGTGTAAGGCTTGCGACCACCCTTTGCGGTTGACTCCCAAGGTTTCCGGAGTCCTCTGTCCTGGATGATCGCTGCTTTCTGGAGCTTGTTCAAGGAGTAGACGTTGCCCACGCTCGCAAGGAGATTGAGTTCGGCGCCATCTTCGAGTTGGAGCCGGTCTACGTACAACCAAGCAGCACATTCTTCCGGCAACATGCACCCGACTTCCTTCAGGCGTGCGTGCAACCTGTCATATTCCGCGTTGTAGTCACGTATAGACTGTCCCGGACGACGACGAAGCTTGCGGAACATCTCGGACAGGGCCTTGCCGATTCTGGTCACCTCGAGGTCCAAGTACCTGTTCCGCAACCAACTCATCAAGTAGTGGACGCCGTCGCCCCTGCTGAGGGCGTCTACGTTCAACTCCTCAGCTGCGACCCAAGCCTTCCCGGTCAAGTGGCGGTACAACACCAAGCCCTGCTGGTTTGGTGGCAAGTAGGTGAGTCGCCGCCATGCTTCAACTTGTCGAAGATAAGACCGAGCAGACGTCCCCACATCATCATCATCACCTCCGCCGAAGGTGGGCACAGAGAGTTTCTCTGAGGGCCGCGGGTTGCCGCCCTTCTGGCCTCCGGAGTCGCCGGAGCCGGACTGGAAGCTGCCGTCACCATGAGTAAAGTGCTTCCATCCACTCCAGACTGGGTCGCCTTTGCCAAGAGAGCCGACGAAGCTCCCATAACGATCTTCTTGCGGCGGGTCGTGCCACGCGGACCCTCCGGCTCGACCATCCGCCCAGGGATCGCGCCATACTCCTTCATAATCGTCGTGGTCAGAACGATGATCTCGGTCGTCGTCGCCGTGCTCGTACCACCCGTCTTCATGCCGGTGGCCACGTCCCCAGGAACCTTCATGTCGCGTAGAGGCCTCAGTGCTGTAGGCGTCCCAGCTCGTAGTCCAGCTGGACCTTCGTCCTTGCTCATCACCGCGGTAGGATCTATTCCACGACCAGTCCCAACCGGCCCTTGGCTCCCACCACGTCACATCACCGGAGTAGTCGTATCCCCACTCCTCTCCAGTGCTCTCGTGTCGCTCACTTCCCACGGACACTTCCTGCTCCGAGGCGGCAGGTTCATCATCACCGCGAGCTCCCGGCGGAACGTCACCAGGGGCTTCAACACCGCTCGACATTGCTACAGCAAGAACTACAGACTACTGGAGCACACTAGGCTCCGCTACCAATTTGAAACTACAGCTACCTACAGGAAAACACAAGCCCCGCGCAACAGCAGCGGTCCCGCCTCGATGCGGCCTTTTTGCTTGGACCAAAAGCCTCCGTGATTCGGCTCCTGACAGGCGTGAGATGCGAGGGTTCTCCAGGTGAATGCCCGAAACGAATCAAGACTTTGCACTGTTGTCAAAAGTATAAGGACTGGGAATGCCAACATTAACACAGGGCTTCACAGTTAGGGTTCGGGGTTTAGGGCTTTTTTAGGGTGCTAGGGTTCAGCGCTCCAGAGGGTTAGGGGGTTTGGGCTTCACAAAAACAGCGAGAGAGAGAGAGAGAGAGAGAGAGAGAGATAGCAGAGTTCTACAACAGCATTCTGACAACGTGTACTTCCGTAGCCGACTGATGTAACTTACAGCAGAAGATGCTAACTTCTATGCACCAAGCGTTGGGAAGATATACTGTGTACCCCGCTTTCTGGCAACTTAAGCTAAGCACGTGGATGTGGACCCTCATGAATGAAACCCCTTGCCTCAATGAGGAAAACATGAACATAGAGCTTTCCTACCCAAAACCCGCCTAAAACCTTAAAGTCGTGGGCATCGTGCAGACGGACGACACAACGGTTGGAACAGAAACTACACCGCCGGGCTCCACATCCACAGAATCAATGACGGTCCTTGGCACGTCATGGCGCTGGTTGAAGTCACTGTGGATCTAGGAGCCTACCTATAGTCTCCATTGTAATTCCTTTTTTGGATAACCAGTTCTATGCCCAGGATCTCAGAATCTAGTTTTTGGTTAACCAAAAAAAGGAACTACAATGGAGACTATGGGTAACCTTCAGGTCCGCAATTCTGCCCCAGGTCAAGGTAGCCGAAGATCTTCGAGGCTACTTGGAGGGTCTTTAGGGGACTTAGTAACTATAAGGGGTTCCTTTAGGGCCCCTTTAAAGGGATCTATAGGGATTCTAGAAGGGTTTAGGGGACTTAGTGAGTGTTTATTTTAGGGACTTATAAGTACCATAACCCCAATTAGGGTCCCGTTTAGGGTACTTATAAGTCTACTTACTAACTAGTTACTAAGTCCCCCGACCCCCCAAGTATTCTTTCTCAAAAGATCTTCGGGCCGATTGCATCAAGAATCGAGGGCTTCCCTCTCTGGCTCGGCCTGCCCATGACCTCAACTTCCCGAAGGGTCCAAAGTACTGCTATGGGGGTTACTTCCTCAAATCATATTAATAATTCCTAATACCGAAACCTAAACCCTAAATACATTCTACTATAAAGCTACTTTGGACCCTTCGAGTCGACCCGAAGTTCATCAATGCGAGGCATTTTTGACGATGCGACTCTCGCCCCCATGGCCGCCTTGGGATGTACCTTAGGGTTCCTTTAAAGGGATCTATAGGGTTTTGGGTTTAGTGGATTCTAATGCCCATTCATTAAGGAATTTACCTTAACTTGTAGAGGCACAAATATTATGATCTAAGGTATGCTCCTTAAGGGGTATTGGGATCTCTGGGTACTTCTGCCTGCCGTTCTGCATTGCTTGCTGAAACCTGCTGCTTACTGGTCCTCCTGGTTCTAGGCATCATTTCGGCTCAGGCCCGAGCCCTAAACCAAAAACAAACAACGGTTTAGGACATCATCGGCTTTAGGGGCTCCGCTGTTCCCGGATAATTAACAACAGCAACACCGAAATCAACCCTTTTGGGGTGTCCCTGCTGCTGCTGCTGCTGCTGCTGCTGCCGCGGCTGCTGCTGCTGCTGCTGCTGCTGCTGCTGCTGCTGCTGCTGCTGCTCTGCTAACCTACCCGGGGGTGGTGTCCGTTCTCCCTCGTTGGGTTTCTTCGGGGATGTGCAGGGTTGCCGGGTTATTACAGGGCATTCGGCTAGGTAATGCCAGAACGCTTTTCTACTCAGGATGCTTGTCGGGTATCCTGCAGAACTTAAGGTTAACCTTTTTGGCTATATAGGGACTACATAGGGACTATACTACCCAAAGATGCTTAAAGGTTGCCTACTCTACTACTAGGTCAGTCGGGCTTTAGTAAAGCCCTAAACCCTTTCAAACCCTCAAGCCTCAGAGTTTCCTAGAAAACCGCGGGGCTTCACTGTTTGAGCCCGAAGCTGAATCTTTCGAGTCCCTTAAAGCCCAAAGCCAGGCCATGTGAACCCTAAACTGCACGGTTTAGGGTTTAGGGTTTAGGGTTTAGGGTTTCGTCGTACTGTCCAAAACAGAAAGGATTGAATAAGTAGTAATAGTGATCCGTAAGAAGAACACTAATTCACCCCACATGTCTCCTGCTCTGATATTCAGGTCGCAGTTTGATTACGAAAGCCTATAATGTAAACCCCCGATGAATAAACCCGCTCTCCTAATGAGGACTATATAACCCAAAGGCTCCATGTACCCATATAGTAAGTACTTAGGCCTTAAAGGGGTCCCTATATGGGTACTTTAAGGCCTAAGTACCTACTATATGGCTACATGGAGCCTTTGGGTAAGGGGATCCTCATACTTTGGCCTTTACAGAAAGGGGGGCTTATCAATCAGCAACTAAACTCAGGTCTGCGTTTAAATCCAGAACCCGTACAGATCCTTTCGAAACACCCCGTATACTACTGTTTCTAATTCTACAAACCCTAAACCTGTAATCCCTTAAACCCACAATAACGCTACGCACACCCCTAAACCCCAAAACCTTAAATCCCTCGACCCAAATTTCCCTATAGACCCTAAACCCTCAACCTCACAAACCTTAACCCTATACCCTAAACCTCCCAAAACCCTCAACCCCCAAAACCCCCAAACCCCTAAACCCTAAACCCTATACCCTCATAGAATCCCTATAGATCCCTTTAAAGGGACCCATTAAGGGTCCCCCCCAAGTTCGACTCCCTCCTGGGGCCAGGGCCCCGTCGACCTCCAGGACAGGTGCAGGAAGTCCCTCCTCGGCCCAGGGCCACAAAAAAGGGCCCTTAATTAATAGGGTTTAGGGGTTTAGGGTTTAGGGTTTAGGGGTTTAGGGTTTAGGGTTTAGGGGTTAGGGTTTAGGGTTTAGGGCCTTAATTTCATGATCATTGCACTGTTCTAAACGTCTAAAAACCTCAAACAAGCTAAATGTTGTGGATTTTTGAAAGCCTGCTAAAAAAGCACTAAATATTGCATTCATTCTAAAATTCCAAAAGCCTCTCACAAGGCTAAATGGGGCCAAGTTGGTGAAGATGTGAGGGATCCTGAAAACAAATGGTTAGATTGGTGTTCCTTTCGAAAGGTTGCTTGAAACGGGTCCCCGAAGGGGATCATCAAAACAGGGATTCTATAGGGGGTCAAGGTTTAGCGATACAGTAGAAGGCCAAAAGTTGGAAACCCAATAGCGTGAATCCTTAAGAGTAATGTATAGGGATTCTCAGCACTATTTGTCCTTAATTCGGTTTCCAACTTTATGGGGTTTACTAAGGCCCCTACATTATAGAACTCTATTATTATAGATCCCTTGTGATACACCCCTTAGAGGAACCCTGTTCCAAGTTTTATGGCTTTTTTTGGGGAGTGTGCGATTTGTGATCCGTGCGGCTGAGGCGTCGGCACGCGGGCTTGGAAGCCACCAGCATGTCTGATCAGCCGACATTTGGACGTAAGCCTGGGCACGGCTGTTCTTTTGCAACCCTCAGCCCCCAAAAAGCCCGCAACCCTAGCACCCTCATCCCAAACTTACGTACGGCCCCCATACAGTAAGAGTCTATAATAGGGCTACTATTAAGGTCCTACTATATCTATGTTATGAATATTATTCAACTATTACTGAGTGGGGGCCGTACCCAATCCCAAACCCAAACCAGAATGGGCCGAATATGGCAGGCGGTCAGTAGGAATCCGCTCAAAAGGTAAGGTCCCGAAAGCCTAAACCTCAAACCCTTCTTAACACACTTGTCCTCACACACCTTTGAAACCTTCATTCAAATAAACAATCGCGAGAGCCCCTCATCATTGACAAGCGCGATCTTCGGGAGGGCTTTGTAGCCGTGGTCCACATCGCTCAAGCAAGTCGACAAGGCACTCTGCGCAACAGCGCCTGTGTATAGTTGTTTGACACTTTCTTCCCAATCTTTGTCTGGGTTGAGGCCAAGTTCGTGCCCGAAGACACCGGCCCAAATGTGGTAATGGGCCCACTCTCTCTTGATCGAATCCCCCGTTGGCGCAATACTCGCAGGCACTGAGGCCCGGTTCTCGCCATCTGCTCTCTGGCGGGGGTCGCTGATCATCTCTGGCTTGCTCTGATGAGCCGCTGCACAGGGGCAGGCAAGCACCTTCCTAAAGTTCGCAAGATTAGCAAGATGTGAAGAAGTGTATCCTCTAAATCATCAAGATCTGCGACTTCGTGCTTGTAAGATGCCTTAGCGATCAGATGCTGCGTTCCTGAACGGACGTTTTCCTTAGCACAGTTCGCAAGTGGCAATGCTCCCTTGCAGGCTTGATATTATCATTGAAAGAAACATCTAAAGAAACAAATCCTAAACGCACCAGAAGGTTTATTTGTAGATCTATTGGGAACAATATCCTTGATAACCCCTTGGAGTCTTGTTTTATCAGTAAGATCCAAACTAAGAGATTTGGGGACCTCTTAGACGGACGACCCTGAACATGGGTCGCAGGCTCAGGCTTCCACGAATGCGAGTGGCTTGAGCTGCTCGATAACCTCAAACCCTCTGACCCCCGAAAGCCCAATACCACTGAACACATACACCCTGTATATACATATACGTATACATCTTGTACATATACATGTTACATACGTGCATACATACATATCTGCCGATATAAACACACGGGGCGTGCAAATGTGTGCGTTTTTAACTTTGCATGCATATATGTACACGAAGAGCATGTTTTTGACACGGAAGCAGCTGAAGGATTCGGGACGCTTGTTTGGTGAGTGCCCCGCTCAAGGAGATCAG